TTAAAAAACCAGTTAAAGGTGCAAAAAAATCTGGTGGAAAAGGTTTTATTAAAGGTTTAGGTAAAGGTTTCCTTGGTCTTGTTGCAAGACCTGCAAGTGGTGTTGCAGATTTAACAAGTTCATCATTTAAATTAATTAAAAGGTTTCATATTAATAAATTCTTTTTGTTTTGTCATAAATAAAAATATTTTATTCATTATAAATAGAGTTGCAGCACATGAAGAAATAATTCATCGTGTTCGTAATCCACGTCATGTTGGAAAAGATGGAATTGTTCGACCGTCAGTTGCTCATGAAACCTTTGGATCTTTTATATTTGATGTATGTTTATTTTCTTTTTGTGACTACCATATATATTATACATTGATTTTAGCAATTTCCTGATGATAAACATCACACTACCGAAGGTTATATTGCACATATAAATGCTACCAAAGAACCATCTACTTTATTTTTTGCTACAACAAAGTTAGATATTGATTAATTTTCTACTTAAAATAAATTTTATTTATTTTTAGACGAATATTATTTTTAACTGAAAATCAATCTTCATCATTTGGTTATGATATTGAATGGGATTATTATTTAAAAGAAATAAAAGGAATACCAACTATCAAATTTGATCCAAGTTTTATTGAAATAACTTTAAAAGTAAAGCTAAAATTTGATTTACATTTAAATAAAATATTTCATTTAAGGAAACAAATGTACTTGGTATGACAAAAAAAGATAGTTTACATGTAAACGTTGTTCCATATGAAAATATCGGTGAAGCAAGAGTACGTTCTTCTTTTCAATCAAAATTTATTAATTTATTTATTCTGTTATAGTATATTGTCGATAAAATTATTGAAGTAATGAAAGCATTGGAAGTCTAATTAAACAATTGTTTTTATTCATTGAAACTGTTAATTATTCTATACATTTAAATTTTGATAAACTAGCTTTTTGTTCTTATTGTTATATTCTCGCATTTCAGATATTTTATTCAGGCAATAAATATACTGGTTATTTTTCTTTGATAATATTCGAGAATTCTATAAGAGAAGCTTCAGCGGTTTTTATTATCTAAATTATTCCATTTGTGGCCTCAAGTCTGACCTAGAAAAGTACGCGAATCAAGCAACAAATAAACGTGCATCTTGCGTAGTTTTGTAGAGTAAAGTTGGAGCTACAGAATGGCTTAAGTTGGATAACAAGCTCGGTAAAGTTTCTCCGATTGGTGATGTACTCTTTCAAAGATCCTTCTGAAAGAACCCTGGAAACCCGATAAAAATCTTTTTTCTATCATAGTTCGATGTGTTCTGGACTTGTCTACAAATCGATGAAAACCTTGTCTCGATATTTCTTCGTCTTTAAGAGCTATTCGAAAAGATGCAGAGTATCTGATTTTTTTGAATCTTCGAATAGTTTCTAAATTTTGTTTACAGTCGAATAAATATGGGTGTGGGTGCATGAGATGCCTGTTTCGATTTATATTATAAACTGATCCTCAACTGATTCGTATCAATCGGAAAATAAATAGTTATATGTGTTTATATGTGTATACATGCATGAATTGTTCTGTCGATTTAGAATTAGATTTAGTTTTTTTTTTATACGCTATAAGTATTTATATATATATATATATATACACTGTCCTGTGGGTGTGGATGTGCTGATCTATTTATCTACTACCTCTCCTGACCGACATGCACACCCACATCCTTCCTAAATTCGACAGGACAGTCTATGTATATATATGAGAGTGACAAGCCAGTATAATACCCTGTTTTGATACAGCCCTATTGTAAGGATAAAACATACTATTGTACGGGTCATATAAGAGAGGATTTTAGATAATCCTGAATTGGCCCGAACAACATCATGTTTATCCTTACAGTAGTGGAGAAAAGCTGCTAGCTCACACGATAAGGGTGTGGGTGTAGTTTGGAGTCTTCAAGTTCAACCACGACCACAGCCACAGCCACACCCAATTTCCATCATGAAGAAAAACGATCACAGGTATCTTCCAGTTTGAAACTTATAACAAAAAGAAGAAAGAAATTATGTTGCTCAGTTGAAGAAAATGTTGCAAAAATAAAGATCAATTTCTAGCAAAAACATGTTGCCAATCATCAACAACGCTCATCAAACAATCGACCAGCAAAACCCTACCCTATAGGGGTACCCATAGGTCCCGAAGCGCTACCCTATATGGATATCCTTAGGCCTTCAACGGCTACCCTATGGAAGTGCCCATAGGTCCTCCAGGACTACCATATAGGGACATCCATGGGTCCTCAAGAGCTATCCTATAGGGGTGCCTGTTGCGTACCCCAATAGGGTAGCCCCTTAACCTATGGGTACCCCTATAGGGCAGCCCTTGAAGACCTAAGGGTATCCCTATAGGATGGCTCTTGAGGACCTATGGGCAGCTCTATAGAGTAACTCTTGGAGACCAGAGCTGCCACCTCTTCTGCTTTTAGCAGAAAAATTCTGCTTTTTGAAGTTTTTTCTGTTTTTTTTCTGTCGTTTCTGCTTTTTATGATACAGCGTTATTTATTATTTCAATCAACATTGTTCTCCTGAAATACCTTCGTTTCCATAATTATTTAAAAAAATCGTATCAAAACCTACTGGTATTTTTGTGCCATTCTAATTCTTTCTATTTGTTACAAGTGATTTTTTTCTACTGACTACAAACAACTACCAACCTATATATCTGGCTTCAAATTAATTCTTTACTTATGGTCTTCTATCGTATTTTAATTACTCATGTAATTCATATACATCAACATCTACATTCTTTCGTTTGTTTGCTCAATGAACATGAATAATTAATACGATTAGTGAGAGAAAAGGAACAGAAAAAACAGCTCTAGATGATAATGACAGCTCGACTAGCGAAGAAAGTATTCACAAAGCAGTAGTAGTTGCTGAAGTAATAAATATGTCATCAGCAGTTAAATCAGAAAACAGAAATTGAATAGAGTTATCTTCAACAGAGAATGTTTCAAAGTTATCGAATATTAATGATCTTTAAAAGAATATAAATTTGATCCGTCTCAACTAACATTTATCGTTCGTCATCAACAGTTTTCCGAACATTGCTAATAAAAAGCTTATATTGATAATCCTATGAACAATAAGAAACACAAAAATATTCAATGCTACGATTTAATAAACAATTATTTTGAAGTTCTCCTTATCATATACTGTAATGGATAAATATTTATTAGGTAAAAAAGATTTTTCAAAAGCTCTTAAATCAGATGAAGAATACTCTTTAAAAGGAAAAGGTGTTCAATGATTCTGTCTATTTGTTAATTAGTTGTGTTTTGTGATGCCATACAATGCGAGTGATTAGTACACTGAAGCTAAAATTGAAAACTAACGGGTAGCTCGTAATAAAAGAGGGCCTCAGTATTTTGTTAACATCTTAAGTGTTATCTTATCACTCACGCTTTATTTTTTTATCGAAAGATTCACCGTCCGATTCTGTAGAAATTGGTATATTTCGCTGTAAAAAACACCTATCTCTCTTTCAACATCATCATGATTTAAAACAAGCATTACACATAACTTTCAAAATCTTCATTTTTTTCAATTTCCTTCCAAAACGTTCAGTTTTTCAATTAATTCTGTTACTTTTGGTATAATTTGTTCGTCACTGAAGAGATAAATTGGTTCATTTCAATCGACGTACTAAAGGCAATTTATTTTATTGCTGGATAAAGAATATAGCACGACCAATGATAATAAGACTAATCTAAGGACTAGATGTTTTCGGAAAAAATTGGAAAAAATAGAGATTTTGAAAGTTGTGTGTAGTGCTGTTTTGAAATCGTGGTGATGTCGAAAGAAAAAGAAATAAGTATTTTTATAACGAAATATACAATTTGTGCAGAAGCAGATGGTGAACTTTTTGATTAAAAAAAAAGCGTGAGCGATAAGATAACGCTTAAGATGTTAACAAAATACTGAGACCCTCTCTTATTACGAGCTACCCGTTAGTTTCATATCATAAACATACTTTCTGCTGTCCTTCTGCTTTTCACTGATAAAACTTCTGTTATTTTCTGCTTTTTGAAAAGTATTTTCTGCTTTTCGGACTTCAAAAGGTGGCAGCACTGTTGGGGACCTATGGGTACCCTATAGGGCAGCCCTTGAGGACCTATGGGTACCCTATAGGGCAGCCCTTGAGGACCTATGGGTACCCCTATCGGATAGCCCACGAGGACCTATGGGTACCTCTATAGGGTAGCCCTTGAGGACCTCTGGGTACCCCTATAGGATAGCCCTTGAGGACCTATGGATACCCCTATAGGATGGCACTTGGGGACCTATGGATACCCCTATAGGATAGCCCTTATGGACCTATGGGTACCCCTATAGGGCAGCTTTTGAGGACCTTTGGATACCCCTACAGGATAGCCTTTGAGAATCTTTGGGTACCCCTATAGGATAGCCCCTGGAAACCTATGGGTACCCCTATAGGGCAGCCCTTGAGGACATTTGGGTACCTCTATAGGATAGCCCTTATGGACCTATAGGTACCTCTATAGTGTAGCCCTGGAAAACCTTTGGGCACTCCTATAGGATAGTCCTTGGTGACCTATCGGTACCCCTATAGGGTAGCCCTCGCGGACCTATGGGTACCTCTATAGGGTAGCCCTTGAGTACCTATGGGTACCTCTATAGGATGGCCCTTGGGGACCTATGGGTACCCGTGTCGGATAGCCCTTGAGGACCTATGGGTACCCTACAAATAGTTCGGTTCGCTCAAATGAGCTGTTCGAACAGTTCAGCTCATTTGAAATGAGCTGTTTCAAAAGTTCATTTTGCTCAAATGAGCTGTTCGAACAATTCAGCTCATTTGAAACGAACTGTTTGAGACCGCTCAGTTCGCTCAAATGAGCTGTTCGAATAGTTCAGTTCGTCTCAGTGAGCGTTTTCAACGGCTCATTAGTTGTGAGCTTGAACTGAGCTTGTATACTCCTAATAAATACAGCCATCGATTTGATGAATGTAGAAGAATCACATTATTTTCGTAATAGGGTTGTTTATGGGTCAATCTATGTAAGAATAATGAAGCAGTTTTCAACAAAACTGCGAGAAAAATCGACAGAAATCGTTGTCTTTGGACATTTAATGTCAATATAATCTCATGATTTTGGAACAATAAGTGTCGATAAAATCACTGATTTTTGCGCGATTATGATCTCATGAGAATAGAATTCATTATTGTGCTATTGTTTTTTTT